TTACGGCATTCATTAAAAATTTGACCAACTCAATGTTATTTTAAGATTTGGTTGCTAAAACTATCAAATCAAGAGAGGTATCTATAATTTTGCTGATCTTAAGGGAACTCAGCAAAATTGTTAGAAACCTCAAGGGAGGTTTATGAAATTATGCCTTTGGATATTAATTACCTCATTTAATCCTTTCTCAAAATTTCAAAATTGACAAGTCTTAAGGTAAAATTTCAGGGCTTTTGTTGCTGACATTTAATCCTTTCTTGAAATTTCAAGATTGGCAGGTTCTAAGGTAAAATTTCAAGGCCATAGGGATATTAATTATGTTTTTCATAACAATAACGTAATGCTCAGGGGGAAAGTGTTTTACGTTTGAACATGATATAAAGTGATTTTCAAAGTCTCGTCCTCCTTGACTCCATTTACCTGGTATATAAGCCCTCATTTATTCCTTAGTAGGATTATTCTATTATGGAACAACATGATAAAAAGAAGGACTAGTTATTCCTTGTATGTAAAAGTTTGAATTTTTAAATATAGGTGAATTAGGAGAAAAGGACAATATTAGAATATTATGTCAGGCTCACACTCTTTTTTTGGGGTGCTCATCCTTTGTACCGTTTACTAATATCATAGATATAGAGCTATGAGATAAAAAAGTGGATGAGGTGTTAAAATTAATAATAGTGAGTATTGTGTCATATAGGGTTTTTCTAATAAGTAGGTATTCATCAATATACTCAAATTATATTCATTTTATCGTGTGAATGTACAAACTGACATTTATCGTCCCCTTGTAAGTTGACACTTTTTAAATTTGATCTTATTTTTCTAAAAAATTAATAGTTAATGTCTCCATTAGCGAGTGTACCCATTAATCAAACCCTATTACATATTTGGTGAAAAAATAACTTTTTTGTTAAATTGTGTGCACACCAATGATTGATGGCAATTTTGGAACCCTATCGGCATGCACTAGGAATACGTATAGAACAAAGCTTTCTTTATAGAACACCAGAGATGGTTTAAAATATGAGCAAGTTATCCGGATGGCTGTTGGACTTTTAGAATCATCGAATTTTGATCACTGAACTATTTAAAGTTTATATTTCAAGCTATTCCTTCAGATTTAATCGAGTTTTGACCACTAAATTATGCTCTTTTCTTTTTGTCTCGTGAATTATGTGAGCATTCAAATCTGTCATGACTCGTGTTTAACGATGAAATATAACAAAATGGTTTGAAATCTAAACTTTAGATAATTTAATAGTCAAAACCAAACTTTTAATAATTCAATGGTCAAAATTCGACGATTCCAAAAGTTTGATGGCCATTCAAATAATTTGCTCTTAAAACATAGAAATTACGTTTGCTTTTGTAGGTAAGGGTTAGAATGGCTATTATTACCTAAAAGAAGGCATTGAGGCCAAAAAGGTTAATCTTAATCTCTGAGAGAGCAAATTAGTACCACCTGAAACTCAGATAACTGCTCATTTTACTGCTGTCACACATCTTAACAAACACAAGACTCGAGAGGGCTCTCAATTGTCATAATCCGATAAGCGTGCAATGTAAAGTGATGTTCTGGCAACGGTTCAAGGGTACTTTGTACAATTAACCATCCCTAGTTTTTTTTTCCCCCAAATAGTTAACTCTTACATTACTCCTAGGGTTGCAAATGAATCGAGTCGCTCGCGAGTCAAGCTCGAATTGAAATTGAACTCGAACTCGAGTTCAAAATATTAAACTCGTTAGCTCGCGAGTTCGAGTATATAAAAATATATATATATATATATAATATTTTTTATTTTAAGTATATATAAATATTTTTTATTTTAAGTATATATATTTTTTATTTTCTTATTTTAATAGTAAAATTACATATGTATCCTTAATATTTTATTATTTATTAAGAAAAAATATTATTTTATTTTATTTAAATAAAATAATTATTTTTTATTTTTTTTCGAGCTTGAGCTTTAAATTGCCGGCTCGTCGAGCTCGAACTCGAGTTCGAACTTGGTAAAATTTAGTCAAGACTCGGTTCGATTAACCCAAAACTCAACTCGAGTCGGCTCGTTTGCAGGCCTAATTACTCCTACTCAAACTTATTTAGTAGAGGATCTAACATGGTCAATGGGGCTAATCCTACACTAATCTATCTATAAGAGGACTCAATTAGGTCAAAGTGCTAGAGGGAGTGACTCCTACCTTTACACTCGTTGAATTTTATTATAGTTGCAAAGTTTTGAACTCCTGACTTGCAACTAAATTTGCATCTTATGTTGCACCTGATGGGCAACTCACCTAAGACCAGCTAGTTAAATAAACAGTACATATAAAAGGATTGTGTAATTATTTGTTTCAAAGCCTCCACAATTTCTTTTTGTATTCTAACTACAATACCTGTTTGCATTGCAAGAAACAATTTCACTTGTACCTATCAATTACGCGTGTAAACACATATATTCCTATTAGTGATAGATAAAGAAATGCATAATATTTATGATCGATAAATTTTAAATAAACCTTTTTTTATTGTTAATGCAAACTTTAATCTTTTAAATTGGTTTGTGTTATGTTGCCAATTACTACTTAAGGGTAGTTTATATTGAAATATATGTTTAAATGGTCAATTAAAAATGCTTATAGATAATTATGTTGACAACATGCATTTGGGATGTTAATGCAATTAAAACTACTTTATATGAAGATAAATATGAAAGTACATAAAGTGACAATAAAATATTTACATCAAATCAAACTCCCTCATTTCCCTTAATATATAGATATGGGATAATTTCAGATTCCTCCCTTGAGGTTTTTGACAAATTCACTGAGTTCCCTTGAACTTTTAAAAATTGTACATACCTCAATTGTCATTTAAAATGACAACACTACCTTTAAATATTTTAATGAAATTCCCTTATTTGTATGCATATACTAAGAATGAGTTTTAAAATTATTATTTTTTTGTTATTCCTCTTCTTTATTCATTTTTTTATGCCAACAAAATCATGGAACTACTACTATTGCTTTTAACTTCTATCAAAACCAATTGTCCAGCTAATGAGTTAACTTTAAATGCGATCCAACGTATTTGCTGATCTTTATTTTTTTTTTGTATCAAAATTAACAAGAAATAAAAAAGAAATTACCTAAAATTATTACTAAATTATGGTAATTCCACTACTCAAAAATTTCACAAATTTGAAAAGAATTATTTCAACATTTTCTTCTCTATTTTATAAGTATAAATCCATAGTAAAACACCATCAAAAGTATTTTATCATAGTAACAAATTTATTATTATAGTTAATTATCAAACAATAGATATGGACATAAAGAAAAATTGGCACATGTTCTTTATAATTGTGCTAGATATAATCTTACAATTGCATAAGCAATTAAATCAAAATTCATTAAGCAGGGGCATTTACGGCATTCATTAAAAATTTGACCAACTCAATGTTATTTTAAGATTTGGTTGCTAAAACTATCAAATCAAGAGAGGTATCTATAATTTTGCTGATCTTAAGGGAACTCAGCAAAATTGTTAGAAACCTCAAGGGAGGTTTATGAAATTATGCCTTTGGATATTAATTACCTCATTTAATCCTTTCTCAAAATTTCAAAATTGACAAGTCTTAAGGTAAAATTTCAGGGCTTTTGTTGCTGACATTTAATCCTTTCTTGAAATTTCAAGATTGGCAGGTTCTAAGGTAAAATTTCAAGGCCATAGGGATATTAATTATGTTTTTCATAACAATAACGTAGTACAATATTGTTTGTTATGAAAACATAACATGTACCACTTCTCACTTACAATTGTATATGACGAAGATGAGCAGTTGAATATCGGACAACTATTTTTTTAACCTTTTTACAGAAAAATATTGAACTATTATCTGAAAAAGCACTTATGGAATACAACTTTTTTCCTTCATTTTTTTGGAAGGAATTTTTCCCTTTATTGAAAACGTTAATATGTTTCACATTTTCGATAAGTTATAGTTTTTTTTTTTAAAACAACGTCGTTTTATTAAAATAAAATTTTAAAAAAAGAAAGAGAAAGTTTGACGACAGTGATACTTAAATAAACAAAACAAGGTCAAGTCAAGATATATATATATATATATATATATATATATGTACACACACACATATACATACGAAGTTTATTGCCAAAATAACTTTTCTTCTAGAATATATACTCAAAGTAACTTAATTTTAAAATTTATTACCTTTGTGATCCTTTTTTGCCACTTAATTTTAAAACTTATTACCTTTGTGATCATTTTTTGCCACTTAGGCTGTATATGTGTCAGGATAGAGATAAAAACGTCCTCTATTTCTCTTTCTCATCTAATATTTTCTTCAATTTTCTCTATAAAGCTTCCCACATTTTTTTCTTTCGTTATCTTTCCCTTGTCAAACATAATCTAAGAAGCCAATCTTTATATTAACAGCATCTAAAAAATATGTTTCGCAAGTCAATAATGTTAAGGTAGATGAAGATTATTTTCGTCTTTTCAAAGAGTAGAAAGGATAACATAAACAAATATGATAATCTTGAAATTTTTGTAATTGATTACAATTTTCGTTGCAATTTTTGTATTTTTAAAATTATTTTTTGAAAAAATATATATGCAATAGGTTTGATACATTTAAAAAAATTCGGAGACCAATAATAGTAAGGTTAATAATGGTAAATTTTATTTTAGATAATTATAAGGAAATTATAAAAGTTATGCAATCTTCTTGTGCCTCTATAATAAAAAAAATTAAAATTTTAGTTAATGTTAGAAACTATAAATTGGATTAGAACTTTCCTTTCTTGTTATTCTACATGGCAATCAGGATAATTAGATGAGAACAATAATATCATTATGGTAATAAAATTTGAAAGTGAATCACATTGGGAATATTTTGTAGTAAGAGTGTTATTTTGGCAAAAAACTCTATACATACGCTACCGTCCCGCCAAAAACTCCAGCGGACGCACACAAGAGTGAAAGAGAACCACAAGACCCTGAGATCAATCGGCGAAGAATTCAACCTGCACTCCGATCGCGTAGGCTTCTCAAAATAATGTCAGCTCTACACGACGTATCTGTCTGGGAACTTGGTTCCATACCCAGAAGGAGATCAGACAACCAAGATTATCCATCATCAATCAACGGTCATTCCACCAGATTTGTCCTCAAGCCCCCAAAAAGAACCAAAAGGAAAAACCCGCAAAAAGAAAAAAAATCACCTCTTTATTATTTGCCGATCGTACCGCTCCTTCAATCTCCGCTGATTCTTCAAGATTCCGACGTCTTCTCCGATTAGTCAACTTGTGCGAAACCATTTGCGGATTCGTGAGTTTGTTCTCTCAAGATTGAGAGTCGTAGGGATATGTTTGGACGGTGAAGGACTGACTTTTTTCCTCCTAAATTCGTAAATGGTATTAAACTTTTCCAAATTATTAATGCTATATTGTGCTCATGCTGATTATTGTAACGTTTTAATCTTGAGAAAGGATCCGAAGATTGTTTACAGTATTCCAATGTTGTCTCTCGCTGGTTTCAGCTTAATCTTTGAGTTTATCGTATGGACATGCTTTTATGTGTCTACGTAATTTGTCATAGTTCCTTAGGAGTGAATTTGGGGCTGTTCTCTGAATAACTGGTATGGGATGATATTTTATTAAAATGTAGTACCAAGTGTTGTTGGTGTCTAATTTACAGCAGATTACCAACTTGACTGAGGGGGTTTAACCCGGATAGGTCATATGGTTTGGCTTGTTAAAACCTATGCTTTGGACGGTCAATCAAGAGTAGTTTTGTGTAAACATTCTGCTGAAGTACTGTTGGTGGATTTAGAGCAAGTGTTACATTGTAGTGCTACCACCTTAGCTCAGGGGATAGCAGTGTTCTTTTATAGCTTATTCAACTTCATGAGCCAGGTATCTTACTTTGATGATGAACTCAACTACGGAGGAGGATTTATAACCAAATTAACAGTGAAATTTTTGTTTACAATCTCACATTCTAAAAGAAAACCTGTACATTCTAGACTCAAATTATTAAGTATTCGGGTTGTCGACAACTTTTCTGGAAATGCATATTGAATTCTTCCCCCAATTATTTACTATTTAATAAGTTCTAGGCGCTTCCATTACTTCAATTGCATAGCTCATCCTTATTCAAGATCTCAGGTTATGACAAGAAAGCTGACTTTCACGTGCAGGGTACTCCAGTAAATATCATTGTTGGGAGTCATGTTTGGGTTGAAGACCCATCTGTTGCTTGGATAGATGGACAAGTAACTAAGATAAATGGAAATGAAGTTGAGATCCAGTTGTCTGATGGGAGGACGGTAGGCCAAGCTCTTCTGCAGTAGTGAATATAAACTCAATTGAGTCTGTGGTCTTCAAAATGATCTTTTCAAGAGCAGTTGCTTCCAGGCATATAGGAGGCAATCCATTGTTTACATGCAACTACTAAACCTAATCAGATGTAGAGTAGCATTCAAAGTCTAATCAGGAATTCCCTGAATTGGCAATGAAGAGTATCCAAGATTCGTTAACTGTGCAAAACGGCTTATTCTAGAAAATAAGTTCTCTTTTTTAATTTTTCCACACAAAATTGTTTGAATGGTTGATTACATTGATTCTCTGTGAATAAGTATTTGTAGTAAAGTGCTTCATCTGGATGAATGTTATTTTTCATCAATAACATGTGCTAATTTCCTTTTTTCTTTTTATTACCTTATGAACGTCCTCCTTCCTTTGTCTTTTTTCCTTTCCTGAATATCTCCAGTTTTTCACAAAAATAAAAGGAATGATTAAAGAGACAGGCTTTCTTTGATCTCCATCTTTTCTTTTGGGCTGCTTACGAGAAATCAAAGGGCATTTTACATGCTTGATGGAATATTTCTTTTGAAAAAAATTTAGGGTTCTTGTTGCTTCTTCTACAACCTAAGCAGTGTTTTTGCTAATTTGAAACTTGCAGAATTCAACTTTTGGCATTTCACTGTAATTTAAGCTGTTAAGATGTTTTTGGGAAATCTGTAATTTGGAACTTTATTATCCACTCATGCATATTTGTCTAATCCAACCAGGTCGTTGAGAAATTGTCAAAGATCTATCCCAAAGATGAAGAAGCTCCTGCTGGTGGAGTGGATGATATGACGAAATTATCATATTTGCATGAGCCTGGAGTACTGCAGAACTTAGCTGCAAGATATCAACTCAATGAAATCTATGTAAGATGACTTTTTCTCATTGATATTTTTTACTTAACCTATGGCCATCCTGGTGAGAGAAAGTAATGAATTACTGCAGCTATGGGGGGCTCTGTCATAATATTATATCCTACTCTGACATTATGGCAGACTTACACTGGAAGTATTCTTATCGCCATTAATCCATTCCAAAGACTACCTCATATATATGATTCCAGCATGATGGAACAATATAAGGGAGCTCCATTTGGGGAATTAAGCCCTCATGTTTTTGCAATTGCAGATGTTGCCTATAGGTGATCTTTTGAGTATTGTTTTGCTACATAATTCTTCCAAATCATGATGTAAACTATAGACTGAAATGTTTGAATTTAACCAGGGCAATGATTAATGAAGGAAAGAGTAATTCTATTCTGGTCAGTGGCGAAAGTGGTGCTGGTAAGACTGAAACAACCAAAATGCTTATGCGATATCTTGCCTTTCTGGGTGGACGTAAAGGCACTGAAGGAAGGACTGTGGAACAACAGGTTTTAGAGGTGAGATAAATAATGTGACTTCTTTCCATGCTCGTAATATCAATTGTTCTAATTTTTTTGTGCCCTGCTAATCCTTTGATATAAGAGTTGTTTCAACATGATAGATTTTGAGATTAAAATATAAGAACATATCTGGAACTCGTCTTACTGTTTAGCCCGCATATCTGGCTTTTACATTCTTTATATAAGCAATTGCTATGCTTAATTCTTTGGTTGATCAAAATTGTATATTGCTGAAACAACATCAATGTACAAGGCATGGATGGGCATATGGTGTTGATGCTAGGGATAGTTTTGAAATGTGAAAGGTAAAGAAGTAAAAGGAGGAAATGTGTAAAGGGTTTACAAGGTAGAGCTGAAATTGCACATTGGAGGTCCACAGGGAAAATGGAGCTTTCAGTTCCACTAGTTCTCTGTTCATATTTTTTGTGTAGATATGTAAAATGTAAAGGGCTCCTTAAGCTTAGCTATAGTAAGCTGGTGCTTTCACTATGCAAAACTAAAGTTGTCCAATACTATGAGGAACTGTTCCCTATTGTTTCTGGAAGAATAGCTCACAACACAAGGCAAGCACCATTTAGGAAGATTAGGATTTTAAGCTGCCTTGTACTTTATAGAGACTTTGTTTAAACTTCGGAGAATAGAATAATAGGACAGCCTATCCATCATCCTCTATTTTGTGGATTGATTTTCCTCATTATCAAACTGAATGAGTTCAGATGTATTGTTTACCTTTACTTTTAAAACGTTTACATATCTGAAGCTGACTTGTGATAAAAATTGCAGTCAAACCCAGTCCTTGAAGCTTTTGGTAATGCAAAAACTGTTAGGAACAACAATTCCAGGTGAGATGCAAATTTCAGTCTTCCAAAGAAAATATTTCTTGTAGTTGTGTTTGAAAATTACTTGGGACATTTAATACACTGCCAATTTTTTGTGGTGCAGCCGTTTTGGTAAATTTGTTGAGATACAATTTAACAAGAATGGAAGAATATCAGGAGCTGCAATTAGAACATATCTTCTTGAGAGATCTCGTGTTTGCCAAGTTTCAGATCCAGAACGCAACTATCACTGTTTCTACCTCCTTTGTGCAGCACCACAGGAGGTAGTTTGCTTATATGTTATACCTTCACACTTGTGTTTTATAGCAATGAGTAACTGCTTGACTGTTCTGAATCTTTACAGGAAATTGAGAAATATAAGTTGGGGCATCCCAAAACATTTCACTATCTTAATCAATCAAATTGCTATGAACTAGTTGGCATTAATGATGCTCATGATTATCTTGCAACAAGGAGAGCCATGGATATCGTTGGCATTAGCCAAAAAGAGCAGGTTTAGTCTTAACATCAATTATGTGGAAGGTATGCTTTTTTAGAATTTCTACACCAAACCTGCAAGTAATTCATCTTCTTTTCTTTTTAAGGATGCAATTTTCAGAGTTGTGGCTGCTATTCTCCATCTTGGTAATATTGAATTTGCGAAGGGTAAAGAAATTGATTCATCGATCCTCAAGGATGAAAAGTCTAAGTTCCATCTGCAAACAACAGCAGAGCTACTTATGTAAGATCAGTGCCTTGATCTAATCACTTTGCCTAATTTTTCCTTGTCAATGACTAGAAAAATTTCAATAGGTGTGATCCTGTTGCACTGGAAGATGCACTATTGAAGCGTGTGATGGTAACCCCTGAAGAAGTTATCAAAAGAAGTCTTGATCCAGATGGTGCAACAGTTAGTAGGGATGGTTTAGCAAAGACAACATATTCCCGTTTGTTTGATTGGTACTTAGAATTACTGATTTTGCTAACACTTAAGTCTATTGTTCAATATTATAGTTTTACGCTGACACACTTATGAATATCTAAACCTTTTACAGGTTGGTGGACAAGATTAATGTCTCTATTGGACAAGATCCTAATTCAAAATCCCTTATTGGAGTTCTTGACATCTATGGTTTTGAAAGCTTTAAACTTAATAGGTAGGTAGTGTGTCATAATTGAAGGTTTTTATACAAATACTCAGGTGATTTTGTTTTTCTTCTCATTTATTTGCATACTTAGAGGTCCTTTAATATGTGCAGTTTTGAACAGTTCTGTATTAATTTCACAAATGAAAAGCTGCAACAACATTTTAACCAGGTATCAGAGGTGAAACTTTTGCAGTAGCACCACTTTTATAACAGTAATGTGAGTATTGTGTTTTCTGCCAGCACGTGTTTAAGATGGAGCAAGAAGAATACACAAAAGAAGAAATTGATTGGAGTTACATCGAATTTGTTGATAACCAAGATGTCTTGGATCTTATTGAAAAGGTCTGCAACTTAGTCTTATGCTGAGTTGTCTTCTTTTCTGTTATAAATATTTTGGTATAAGATACAGTGTGCTGTTGATAATTAATTACAGAACCGGTTATTATGCAATAAACTTTATCTGGAGGATATTAAGTGCTTATAAATTTGAGAGACTATATGTTGAGTTCTTCTGGAATCTGTTATATACGTAAAAGAGGGAATATTAGGTGAACAGGTTTGGGAAGATTACCAAAGAGACTAGGTGAACTAGGTAAAAATAGTTTTTTAGCTGATACTTTTGCTTTTCTAATTCAAATTTATTGTCTGGTACTATATACTTCTGTGCATTATCTACTCATAGGCTTTGATGAAATCAGTTTGACTTTTCCTTATTAGCTTCAAGCAGGAGGATTATTGTAAAGGTCATTTGAATATGTAGACTACAATACTACTATAACAACTTCAACCTTTGTATGCTTAATAGATAGGTCGCTTTAGTTGTGATGGTGATGGTAACATATCGTGAACCTGGAAATATTTGAATTTCCAATTTTTACTAATTGAGTTGTGATCAATTGTATAGCTGTTATTATAGTTTCAATCAACCTAAGTTAGTTTGAGCCTTAATAACATCATAGCTCATTTGTTCAACTTACAGGGTTAGTAATCATACCTGCTCAAGAAATAATGACATCTTTTTATTTTTTTTCCCTTTCTGTTTGGCAGAAACCAGGAGGTATTGTTGCTCTCCTTGATGAAGCCTGGTATGTATTTGTGTATTGTCTTCACACATCTTTCTAAGTGTTGTGTGGAATTTTGGGCACTCCTGTCACAAAGTTGACCATATACAATATATTCACAAACTTGGAACTGACATGCATTCTCTTTCCAGTATGTTTCCCAAGTCAACTCATGAAACGTTTTCTCAAAAGCTTTATCAGACATTCAAATCCCACAAACGCTTCATCAAACCAAAGTTGTCACGTACGGATTTCACAATTGCTCATTATGCTGGCGAGGTGATTGGAACAACATGATTATTAATGAATTTAATGGAGTTCTTCTGCTTGAGTTTGTAGTCCATCATGTATTTCCTACTTTTTGTTTTGCTTCAGGTCCAGTATCAATCTGAGCAATTTTTGGATAAGAACAAAGACTATGTTGTCCCTGAACATCAAGATCTGTTGGTTGCTTCCAAATGCTCTTTCGTAGCTGGGCTTTTTCCCCCACTTCCTGAAGAAACTACTAAATCTTCGAACAAATCTTCCAAGTTCTCATCCATTGGTTCTCGTTTTAAGGTACATTTTGCTAACTTGCTTACAGAGCTGTTCAGTGTTTTGTCACTGGAGTATACCTGACAGTGGCAATTTAGTGTTAATAGTTTGGTGTTTTGGGTACAAGAAAACCTGATCTTCCTGTAAAATGGGTGCAGTTACAACTTCAACAGCTGATGGAAACATTGAACTCTACTGAACCTCACTACATTAGATGTGTTAAACCTAACAATCTTCTGAAACCAGCTGTTTTTGAAAATGCCAACATCATGCAGCAACTGCGTTGTGGTGTGAGTATAGTAAATAATAATGCTGCAAAACATTGATTATGCCATTTGAATTGAATGATGATGTTTTTCACTGCAGGGTGTTCTAGAGGCAATCAGAATCAGTTGTGCTGGATACCCTACACGTAAGACATTCTATGAATTTCTACTTCGGTTTGGTCTTCTAGCACCAGAGTTCTTGGAAGGGAAGTAAGTAATGCTTATTTTTCCTAATTTTAGCAAAAAAATCTTAGTTGTTTTTAACAATAGCTTAATTCTTGGCAAACTCTTCCAATTTTCTGATCTTATTTTCTCATTTGAACAATAAGCAGTACTGATGAAAGGATTGCCTGCAAAAAGATTTTGGAGAAGTTGAATCTGGCAGGATATCAGGTGATGAGAATTTCCGCTGCCCTTACAAAGCACTAGTTCTTATATTTTGACATTTAAATAGAGCAAGTTAAAGTCAATCAATCGCTGTGCCCTTTAATGCTTGTAATTTTGAATTAAGCTTTAACTGAGATATAAAAGACTCTTTAGCTTTTTTGGATTATATCTTATGACCAGAAATATTTTTTTAAGTGTTTCTTCTTTTGCCTTCTTGCATCTAATGATAGCAGGCTCACTTAAGCCAATAGTCCCCGTTAAAAAATGAGAACTTTTAAATTTTCATTAGTAGCAAGTATTGAGTGCGGCTTCCTCATCATGCCAATCTGTAATGAAAGTGTTTATTTTGAATCACCTTTCCTTTATATAAAATTTAAGGTGGGGCTGCAGCTGTTCAGTGTAATTTTAGTATTTTTGATAGAAACTCTTCTAGACAGATATTGTTGCAATCAGATGAAGTCATAAAACAGATATTCTGAATGGCATTTTCATGAATCATCTACCACTGCACTCTCCAACACTTCTTAAGCACACTCATGGATGAATCACTAGATCATATCAATGTTATTCTGCTTTCTCCAGTCTCTGTTTATTGTGAACTGAGTCCTTTATAACATGCTTGATGTGTGTATAATTCTATCTTGTACATGGTGTCTTCTCTGCTCTGTACGCACTGTCTTGAGCCCTAAAATGTGGATTTGGGTATCTATATCTTATGCTCCTTTACAGTGATGGGGTTCTATTAATTTTTTCCAAGAGGTACTCATGGTTGGACTTCACAGATAGGAAAAACGAAGGTTTTCTTAAGAGCTGGTCAAATGGCTGAACTAGATGCACGAAGAGCTCAAAAGCTGAACAATGCAGCTAAGACAATCCAAAGGAAGACTAGAACTCATATTGCTCGGAAGCATTTTCTTGCTTTGCAGGAGGCTGCAGTTTGTATACAATCTGTTTGTCGAGGTTTCTTCAACTGGAAACATATTTACTCTTGAAATCTTTAGCTTGCTAAGTATTCTACTTTTTAATGGGCTTTCTTTAAAATCTCAAGCTGTTTTATTCTTGTTTCATAGCCCATGCAATCTGGTTCATTATAGTCTTTGGCTTAAGATCTCATGTCTGCTTTTCTTAGAGAGTATATAGAGCTAGTCTTTTCTTTTCTTTTATAAGTTTTTTGGTTGCTTATGTACTTGCAGGAAGGCTTGCTTGTAAAGTATATGATGGTATTAAAAAGGAGGCAGCTTCACTTAAAATCCAGGCAAACTTGCGTTGTCATCTGGCCCGGAGGAAGTACACAAACATAAAGCTGGCAGGAGTTGTACTGCAGACAGGAATGAGATCAATGGCTGCACGAAAGGAATTCAGATATAGAAGGCAAACCACGGCAGCAACTCTTTTGCAGGTTATCAATTTGCTTCTGATTTTTGTTGCTTTGTATAGTATGTCCATTTTGCTATTAACAGGTAAAGATGTTTGCAGGCCAATTGGCGTGGTCATAGAGCCTTCTCATACTATAAGAAACTTATAAGAGCAGCCATTATAACACAATGCAGATGGAGGGGAAGGGCGGCTAGAAGAGAACTCCGAAAATTGAAGATGGTATGTCATTGTGCTATTGTGAAAAGAACAATGTAATGACTAGTTTATGTTTGGGAAGCAAGTTTCCACAATTACTGCTGCTTGATACTAATAATTTGCTGATGCATGCTTATATTACCAAGTATATCACATTTGTTTATCTTCGAATACTTTGTCACATTCTCAGGTGGAATAAAGTCATATATATGCTGTGTTATTGTGATTGGCCATTTATTTTACAAATTCATACTTGCACTTAGAGGAATGCTTCTTTTCCTATCATTTCAAATGGGAGTATGGGCTTGATAACTGATGCATTTCTCCTGGAATATCCCTGTAGAAGCCTTAAGTAATTTATTTTAAGTTGCCTGCACTTCTTGTTAGCCTCTACATACTAATATTAAAGCTAAACCTATATTAATCTAGTTTTCCTTTGAAAAAACTTTTGACTTGCAGATCTCTAACATTAAGCATGTTTCGTATCTTAGGCTGCAAGAGAAACAGGGGCTCTGCAACAAGCAAAGGATAAGCTTGAAAAACAGGTGGAAGACCTTACCTGGCGATTGCAGTTGGAGAAACGTTTAAGGGTAATGCTTTTCTTATTTAGAGCAATTGTTTCTCTTTTCAGGAGATTTCTCCACTCCCACTAAAAAAAGTTTTGCGATAAATCATCCCTTTTTTTTTTCACTGTACTCATAGACACGCGTGCACAACAATTGTAATTTTTCTGTATTCTCTGGATTGCATTTTCATGTAGGGGGCCCTTGTAAGTGATTTGAACCTTTTGTTGTATTACTGATTATCTTGTTGTTTAAAGGCACCATTTTAGTTCATATGTTTTTTTAATTCTCAACATTTTTTTTGTTGGGTTGAGTGTTGTCATTTCTGGAAATATTTCAGCTCTAAGCAATGCAACTGTAGCTTGACTTTGTATTTTATTGACCATTATCTTTGCAGACTGACTTGGAAGAGGCAAAAGGCCAGGAAATAGCAAAGTTACAGCAATCGTTGCAAGATATGCAAAGCAAAGTGGATGAATCTAATGCATTGCTCATCAAGGAACGTGAGGCTGCTCAGAAGGCAATTGAAGAAGCCTCTTCAATTGTTAGAGAAACACCTGTTCCTGTTGAAGATACTAAAAAGATTGATGCTTTAACTGCAGAAGTTGAAAATTTGAAGGTAGTGCTTGTGACCTAGGATATTAGAATGTCTCCATGCTCTTCAGCATTTTCCCTGGACTTAACCTTCAATTACATTTCACAATCGTGTGGTTTTAAACAATTTAGACTTTGCTACAATCTGAAACCCAAAGAGCCGATGATTCTGAAAGGAGATGTGCGGAAGCTTTGCAGTCAAGTGAAGACAAGCGTCAGAAATTAGAAGAAACCAATAAAAGAGTTCATCAACTTCAGGAATCTTTGAACAGGTAGCATCAACTAAAAAATGGTTTTGCATTGATTTCCTTTCTCTTTCAATATACAGATATTACCCTTATCTGACGTATAGCTGAAAATATTTTCTTCCATAAGTAGCCTTAAGCTCATGGTCATCAATGAGTCTGTTTAAATTCAAGTTGTTTCATCTCCCCTATATTTTTGTGGGGACTCCTTACTGGAAATTTGCTTTTGAAGGCCGGAAAAAACCTAAGTTAAAAATTAGGTCCCGATTACAGCACTTGTTGGGGTGTTTTGCTCACATATCTTGAGTATAACACAGAAAACCACTACGCCTGCATAATGCTAGGCATATCATTTTTTGTAAGTAGCAACGTAAGGGATCTTATCTTGAGATATGGTGGATTGGACAGATATGCATGACTCAAATGTATATACATTTTTAAGTAGGATGCCCAAATTGTTAACACAATGGCTTTCAATTACTAAACTTCTGTTAGATGTATCAGTATAGCGTGGAGTTGCATGGTCCCCATTCAAGATCAATGCAGTTAACTACTTTACTTGAATGACATCTAAAAGTTTGTGTTGTTCCACTGCATCTCGAAACAATCTATCTTAAGATGGATGTTTTTGTAGTCTACTGTGGGACATTTATTAGATGTGTTCTTTGGGAATGGCTTGACTTATGACAGATAATTCTGATAAGATAAAACTACTTGAATTCATTTGAACAACAGTAGTACATATGGATTTATCACTTGCAAGGTGGCCGATTTAGCACCCCTTGTTGCCTCTTTACTGAAGCAGATGCACTGCGCTGCCAGCTGTAACCTTGTCTCTCCCACTGTTCTAATGGTTGTGCCACCATCAATCTCAGGTTAAATCTGGGTCTGGCTGCTTCCTGACCTAAGAAAAAACTATTATCCTTGAAACAAACAAGTATTGGCTTTCTTATTTCTCGAGCGATAGTTCCATGATCCTGACCAGCAACTTGGTGGTGTAGGCAGAAAAGCCTTATTTGGAGCAATGTTAACCCCCTTCTTAAGTGATAGATGATTGCACAAACTTGCAAGAAGGTATCATCTTTAACGAAATAATGTTCCTTAAAGAGTTCATAAGGTTAAATTATAATTACTTCAGCAAGTCAATATAGAAGAGATATCAGGGTAAAAAGTGTAGCAAGAAATGATTGAGTGGACTTAAAGTCTAGAGATGATTGATTATTTTTAGCGGACTGATTGAGCGAGAAAGAACTGAAATCTGATATCTATGTGCTTTATCCTGGATTATATGGCCCTGTGGATATGACTAGCTGATGTATATGTCCCATTTTTAAGGTTCATTCTCAAAATTTCCATGCTCTGGTACTACCATCTAAATGACTCTTCTTTTGTTTTATCTATCCCCATCAGTACTCCTCAGTTGGTTCCCACATGATTTGTCTGCTAAAATGCCTCTTTTCTTTCTTAATCTTCTAAAAGAAAATAAATAGTTGCTTTTTGGTTGTCAATTAATGAGCACAAATCTTGTATCAAATGTTTTGTAAGCAATGTACAGGGAGAGCATAATTTTTGGCTTCCTAAAATTATGCTCAACTGAAAATTTAAAACTAAAAAGAAGATAAAAGTTATTTGAGGAGGAGTAGGTGCGCCTTCACCATTTTGAACCTATCTCGGGCTTTTCGATTTTGCCAATTGGTTGCAGGAGATATATCTTACTAACTGAAGAAAAGAGTAAGGATCCCTTGTGCCATCTGACTAATACTAGATATGATCTAGTGTGCCTCAGGATGATATACAGCATGTCGGACCAATTTTTGGAGCTGAAAATGACTTTGTCCTCATCCAACTTCAGTTCATCTTCACGATTTTTTGGTAGAGAAAGTCAGGGTGATGCTTCGTCCACTTCTTCCGACACTACATCTACTGATTCTGATTTCACCTTTCCAGCTCCTGCTTCAACTCCAGCAAACTTTTCTTCATTGAATCCTGGTGCTTTTCAGCTCGTAGTTCAGGATCTTTCAGCGGCTGAGATGTCAGGTTAGTCTAGATTTATGGGAGTCTCCAGTCTGCTCTTGAACTCTTTTGATACCTCGTGTAAATTTTGATCCACCAGTCTTTTGCTAGTAGGCGTCTTTCTCTGAGACCCAATCCTTCCACTTTTGGTCTTTCCCACTTCTTTTTCACCTTAAATACTGAGCATTTTGTTCCCAAAATGTGTTCACTTTTGTTTAAGTGAGACCCTCTCAAAGTGACTGTATTATATACACCTTTTTCTCTTCATGGTTGCATTGTGCAGGATCCGAAAACTGGGAAAATGATCGGGAGGGGGCATTCGATGACTTCTTCTGAGGAAACTTGCTCTTTCAAACTGTTGTATCTATAATCGTGCTAGCTAGATGTTAGTCTGACACTCTCTTGATCTGGCCATTTTGGCATTTAAGTAGGTACTTCAACCCAAAATTGATTAACATCTTTTGTACTATACAAACCAAGATTGAAAAGTTAGATACTCCTGAAAACTGGTTCAATCATGTACAGATTGTTTCCCATTAAGGTGGATTATCTACTTTTAAAGTCTATGAGATGTTTCTAGTTGATGCAGAGTTCTGTGTTGTTGGGGTGGCACTGTTAATTTTTTGTCCAATTTTTTTTTAGATTTTATGATGAAATTTGCTCCACTGGGTTAGTGATTAAATATTTGATCATGTTGTTAGGCCTGATTATCCTGGGAAGCTCATCATTTTGGTAGATAGGAAACCTGTAAAAGAAGAACCCTGCATGTATAACCAGCTAAATATATCTTTAGCATCTTTACTGATGAGTTAAAAATGATTCTCCTTCTTTTAGTGGTTCCTTTGTGTTGCAAATGGAACCATGATTTCAGGAATGATTCACCTACTGTTATAGCATGAACTGGCCTTCATTCTCCAGTTGGTGCTTAAATCTTTAAAATACCGATAGATTTAGAAGCGTGATCTTTAGTTGCAATACGAACTTTTGGGGTTCATCCTATGTCTTGCCTAAAAATCCTAGATCTTTGTCAAGCATTTGAAAAGGTCCAAGGTCTTTTTCTTCCCGTTATCTAGAACTTTTTCTCACTATAATCAATCTGCAAGGAAGAAAGATGTTATTCCCCCTCTCACATCAGTACCAGTGGAAGGCCCGCATAAGCAGCACCAGCTGATTCCCTTTATTCAGGTTTTCATCTTCCTCCTCTTCATTTTCTGTACGATTCTGATTTCTTCTCTCTCCTCTTGTTGTCCTCAGATTTCATCTGCTCAATCCTATGCGTCTATGTTCCAATTCTACACATTTGTTGCTCATCCCCCAATTTGGACCCTAAATGTCTATGCTAGGAGAGAGCTGGTATAGAAAATCTTGGAATTATAAGTACGTTATGCATATATTAAGAGTTGGGGAAGATGTTGGATATCACCTTTGTCGGGACATCATTTGCTACTCTTTCATTTATGATGGAAAACGCATTCTAACCCTTCTTCATATACGGAATGAGTACAGCTCTTCATGAGAAAAAAGCGAGAAATTTTAAACATTTATGTATTAGATGTAAATCTAGCTAGTAGCGGATGTTGAGTTTGCTCGAGTGGTGTTTTGCTGACAAGTGGTGTAAGCAAAATCCTGTCTCAATACAGGATAAGGATGAAGAAAGCAGTTACTTGGTCAAGTTGTTTGTTGCAGAATCTCTACCCAAAATCTTAATTATGCCTAGTCTGGATTGCCTTCAAGCTGCAAAAACTGTTCTCTTACAATTTCTGTTTAAGGATACGAGCCTGCTGCACCTGATATATGGACAAATAATCTGACAACTATGTTGATATCTTGGAAAGTTTCTTAAACCATTTCAAGTCTCTAAATCTTATCAGTTTTTGTTGAGGCAATCCAGCCTTTTCCTTGGGCTGATATGGTTATTAAGGCTATTTTTAACTTGATTTATGAATCCTTGACTGCTATCCATAAGTTATGTCAAATATGCAGTTATTTCTCAGAGTTCTTTATTGCGGGACGTTGTGCTTATGCATATGAACTTATGTAAATATCAGTTCTTCTAGAGAATTTTGTGATACCGAATTTTTTTGCCTTTTGGCAGTGGGCTCTCTCTCTCTTCCTCTACATATAATGCCAATATGTGCATGTGTGACTATGTTTGTGTTAGCCATACCATCTTTTGCCAATTTATTTCTTGCCCACTGTCGTGCTCTTCATTATCCTTTTAAGTAGATCCCATGCTCGTGAGGGTTCTTGCCATGCAATAAATAATGTTCATGTTCGTCCAGGTATGTGAGAGTTCCTAGGCTATTTTCAAATGTGAAATGCTTTCTACTAGAACCAAAAAACAGGGAAGATAAGTTTTCACTAACATCAGTTAAAATAGCTTTTGCTTGCTTATGCTTGCTGTAGTTTTCTCTCTGGTAAACAGGATTGAGAAATTAGGACTAAAGAAATATGATCAGAACTTTTACTATTTCTAATTCTCCTTAACAGGAAAGAAAGTGTCTGATTCTCTCATAATGCTTCAGCTGGATTGCAAAATTGAGGATTTCTAGTTTTGATCTCAATTTGTAAGATCCTTGTTAACACAAGTAAACCAAATGATAAATTGCTTTCATAGCATAATCAATAGGTCTGTGTTGCTGGGCTGCTTATAAAATGCTGTTTAGCATTTTGACATTGACAATTTTCATTTGGGAAGTACATGATTTTGGTATATTCTCTTTAGCAGTGCATGCATTATTATTATTATTACTTTTTTTTTAAACAGTTTTCAGCTGAATATCTTATTCTTGTATAAGAGACAAGCAACAATCTTGAATTACTTTGTTATCCTTATCTATACCTTTTGTGCTTTCATGTTAGTACTGTCCTTGTACTGCAAAATGGATATTATGCTAGGTACAGTTGATGGAAGTATTGTCCTTGTGAAAATAGGCTTGAAGAGAAACTTTCCAACTTGGAATCAGAAAACAAAGTTCTTCGCCAGCAGGCCCTTGCAATGGCACAAAGTAATAAGTTGCTATCCAGCCGCTCAAGGTCAATTATGCAGGTAAATTTCGAAAATTGAACTGTTTATCTGTGATTACAATGTATTATCAGTTACTAACACCTTCAGTTTCTTTGTTATTTTTTAAAACTGACAGAGGACTGAAAGTACAAAAACCAATGTCGTAAGTTCAACTTTAAGACTTTATAGTTTAATTCTAATATTTCTGTATATGTTAGGGTTATATTCATATATTCACTGTTACAAAAATTATAGGACCTACATAGTGCTTCAATGAATGCAAGGGATTCTTCAGAGGCAGAGGGAAGACCTCAGAAATCGCTTAATGAGAAGCAACAGGAGTATCAGGACTTGCTCCTTCGCTGTGTTGCGCAGCATCTAGGCTTCTCTAAGGGTAGACCAGTTGCTGCCTGCATCATATACAAATGCCTTAGACAGTGGCATTCATTTGAAGCTGAGAGGACAAGTATTTTTGACAAAATAATCCAGACCATCGGCCATGCTATTGAGGTGATAAGAGGAAAACTCACTGTTTACCTGCAATTGAGGACTGGTATTAATAATTGAATTTTCTTTCTAGCAGAAGACTCAGGACAATAATGATGTCTTAGCCTATTGGCTATCCAATGCTTCAACATTGTTGCTGCTGTTGCAACGCACACTGAAAGCTGGTGGCACTACCGGGGTGACTACTCAACACCGGCGATCACCATCAGCAACTCTGTTTGGGAGAATGACACAGGTAAAATATCAGATCTACTTCTAGATTTCACTCCATAAAACATATACATGTTTTACAATACAACTTTCTGCAGAGTTTCCGGGGAACTCCTCAAGATGTCAACCTTTCTCTGATTGATGGTGATTTGGCTCGTAGAGTGGATATTCTACGCCAGGTTGAAGCAAAATACCCTGCGTTGCTTTTTAAACAGCAACTTACAGCTTATGTGGAGAAAATTTATGGAATGATCCGTGATAATTTAAAGAAAGAGATTTCTCCGGTGCTTGGGTTGTGCATTCAGGTGCTAGCCTATATTCAGAAATCATAACATATTTGCACAAAGTATTTGATCTGATTTGAAATTGCATGACTAATGCAAGTTTAATCATCCAGGCACCAAGACTATCCAGAGCAACCTTGCTTAAGGGGACAGCACGCATGCTTGCTAATGCTGCTGCTCAGGAGATCTTAATTGCTCATTGGCAAGGCATTGTGAAGAGCCTAGGAAACTTTTTAAATATCTTAAAAGCTAATCACGTGAGAATAGCATTTGCTGCATCTTTGTTTGGTGTGCTTTCTTTTATCTTATTTCTTGTTCAGCTTCAGGTTGGCATGATTTTATTATACTATTCAGTTGATGTTGTGTTCTTTTTTTATTTTTATTTGGGTTTAAATACCCAGCCCTGGTTACAGCATAAAACTTTCTGTTACTACAGTTTTGATTAGAATAAACATAGTACCTCTGGGGTTCTGTCATTGCTTCTGTTTTTGAATACATTCAATCATCTTAGATTTCCTTGTAATCAATTCATATACCTTATCATCTGTTTCCATTCAAGAGTTTCATGGTTATACTGGATTAGATCTGTCAGGGTGACCTCCCCATTCTTTAATCTCTGTTTTAGGGGAACCAAAATTGGTGTTGGTGGCCAACATTTTCTGGGGAAATAGTCTCTAAAGGTTGTTGTGTATTCTTTCCCAGTTAGGTCATTGCATCCACTGAACAGAGAAGTTAGAATAAATAAAGTTTTGAACTGTAATAGGACCATTGGGACTGTTTTTGATCCTTTCAAAACAATGGTTTGGGTTTATTCCCAGTACTTGTACCCTTGATCACTTCTTTTCACATCAAAAAGTTACTCTGAATCTTTTAATTATCCAGCTATTTTACTATAAAATTTATTGCTCGTTCTTCTGCTAAGTAATTTAAGTTGTTAATTTTGTTTTCAATTCAACAAATTCAAGTCTTGCAGCTAAGATTATCTGAATGGATCCTGAACCTTGACAGTCCAAATTGGTACCATGGGCCGAAAACCCTGATTACATACTCCCCCAAAACATTGACCTCATTGGTTTTCCTGGCTTATAAGACAGTTGAAATATCACTTCTTAGTAGTCAACTGTCTTGGCTATGAAGTGTCTTTGTTTTTATATAACCTATATCTGCATATCTTCAAGATTTAGGGAAACATATAATGTTAACCATTGTACTACGTATAGGGCAATAACCAACCTTGTTGATACTAGATATTTTGTGGTAACTTGTCTGATTATTGTGTTTAAAATCATGCTAAGTACACATCTCACTACAGAATGTCGGCAATGTCTTATTTAATGATGGATAGCTACTTAGTCTGATCTTGTAGTTCAAGGATGGTATGATGGAATTGCCAAAAACTTGCGCTTATGATTGGCAATCCTTGTTCTATTTATTGTATTTTTGGTGATGGAGAGCTATGTTTACTTTTAGGTGCCTCCCTTTCTGGTGCGCAAGATTTTCACCCAAATTTTTTCTTTCATCAATGTGCAACTCTTCAACAGGTATGTTGTCTATTGGCATTTGCTTGTTTCCCAACTGTTTGCTATATTATGGAGTCTAGTTTATCAACTTATTTCAGTTCTTCCCGTGTCTATTTTTCATTGTTATAGCCTCTTGCTGAGACGAGAATGTTGCTCGTTTAGTAATGGAGAATATGTGAAGGCTGGGTTGGCTGAGCTGGAGCACTGGTGCTATAATGCTACTGATGAGGTTAATCTTGCTTTCTTGATATACACTTTCTTGTATTGATTTCCTTGCTAAAGAAGAAATTTTGTTGCAGTATGCTGGTTCATCCTGGGACGAGCTTAAGCATATAAGACAAGCGATTGGGTTTCTGGTACACCACCATCTTCTTCTTGCTGGAAAACTTTCTGCTCGTTATCATGTTAATTGAAGAAAAGGCAGTTACAGTGTCCGTTGGACAATTTGATCCTTTCATTCAAGCATGCACCTTTGATTGGAATCAGTGAACATATTCTGTATTCGGAAAATGTTTGAGGTCTTAATCATTGATTCTGTATTTTTGGGGAAGCTGGGGGGTGGGGGGGAAGCGGGGGCAGGTGAGGTGAGATTGAAATTCCACACATTTCACCACTTGAAAGTTATGATGATGTCTCTGATTTTTTTGCATTAGGTTATACATCAAAAGCCCAAGAAGACGCTAGATGAAATAAGTCATGATCTATGCCCTGTAAGTAGTGCACATGAAAGACTAAGTTTAGGCTTTTGTGATAGAACGTGAGATCTTGCTGATTACATGTTGATATGATTTACAGGTGCTTAGCATTCAACAGCTCTACAGGATCAGCACAATGTACTGGGATGACAAATATGGCACGCATAGTCTTTCCCCAGATGTAAGTCCTGACTGATTTACCAATTCAATGTTTAGCGCTACTCTATTCATCTGTTAGTACTCTCTCAGATATTGAGCTTTACTTGAAACTGGGATGATTGCATAGTTTTAATGGCTGAACTAGCTCCTCTGAGATTGTTATTAACATCCGACTAGATATCAAAATACTAATTGATTTGCTCTTTCACGATAGCATGGTATGAGAAAAAGTGCATTAAAAAGAAAAGTAGGAATCACTCGTTCGAGCCAGGCTCAAGTTGTATCTTAATGTTTGCATTGATAGGTTATATCCAACATGAGGGTGTTAATGACGGAAGACTCCAATAATGCTGTAAGCAGTTCTTTCCTGCTGGATGATGATTCAAGGTTGATCATGAGATTATTTTCTTTATTACTTCCTTTATGTGCACTGATTTGGTATTTTTCGTCCAAGATTCTTAAATCATTTTGGTCCGGTCCTGTGTTTTCTGTTGCTCCTGCTGCAGCATTCCATTCTCTGTTGATGACCTCTCCAAGTCAATGGATCAGATTGATGTTTTAGACATTGAACCACCCTCACTTATTCGTGAAAATTCAGGGTTCAGCTTCTTACTGCCTGCCACGTCCTGACTAAAGATGGGTTAATTGATCGCCATCCAATTCTTTGCTAAGACTTGATAAAAAGATAGTTTAATCCCTGACTTGATTATTGGCCTATTAAATTGGAACCATTGGCTTTTCCCATCCTCAAATGATTCATGGCATGTCTTCTGCACTTTTGGTTTTGTTTCTTTGAAACTTGTCTCATCTCTGCATATGGCTGGCGTACATTATTGATGGTTAATGCGTTTCATTTTAGGGCTTCACCGCGCATTTGTTCCTCTTAGCTACTAGCTATCTAGCTGCATTGCGGCTTTTCTGTATCCAACGTTAATTCTTCAAAAATGTTAATAGAGTCTATCTAATGCCATTAATAATAATGTAATCAAGCTTCCCGGGGCTTATCCGCTTTCACTTTGCGGGAGAAAGAAGGATAAACGCACAAAACCCCAAATATGGAGCTACTTCCCCCATAAACATTTACCTTGCTTAGATATGTTTTTTTTTTTTTTTTTCAATATGCTATTTTCCATACATTTTTTCTGCTTTCATATTTTCAAAGATTGGCATGCATCTTTTACAGGATTCGACCTCTTGTATCGAGCCATAATACCCCAGTGGATGTTCTAGGCAAACGATGATAATTTCGAAGTCAAATAATCAAACTGACCTTTTGAAACTTGTCGCAAAATTTGAACATTTTCTATATATATATATATATATATATATATAACAGAAACGAATTTTCTTATTTCGGCTCCCATATCTTCTTTTCTCTACTTGAAAGCCAAAAAAAAAAAAAAAAAGGCAAATGCATTTTCGAAAGAAAGTAGTACGGAGAATAAAAGAAAGATCTTCTTTGGTAGGCTAGTTTTGTCGTAGGAGCTTCTCAATCAGTCCATCAACAGAAAACAAATTGCGCTTAATTCAGGTACTCGTAATTGTAGTCGTGTCAAAAGAATCTTGAATGAATATCCGCTAGACCGCACCCGCATCTGAAAATAAAGTAACCGCATAATTTGGCAGACCGAGCTTTTTGTATACATTGGCTAACGGGCTGAGTAACAGCTAGATTTGGTAAGAGACATATGCAGGTGGATTTTTACACAGAACATTTACTTGCACCCTCCTCCTGCCTTTAGACTTTAGTATAAAGCAATCAATAACAACAGTACACTTGCTCGCTCCTACACCAGAACTCAGTCTCTGCTAGTGCTGCTTTTTCTTCAGCAATATGTTTGGTAATTCAGCTCTCTCTCTCCCCTCCCCTCCAAACTCTGAGTTGGGCTACCAATACTTTTAATCTTCTTGAAGCAAAGGTAGGCCGGCATGGAGAAAGTGAACTTGAGTGGTGAAAAGTTGAAGAAAGGGATATGCTGCTGGGACCATGCCAAGTTCAGCTACGAGAAACATGGTGCATATGGATTCTCATGGCAACAAAGAAACTACAGATGTAGTTTTTGCAATAAAGAGTTCAGGTCTGCGCAAGCTCTTGGTGGCCATATGAACATTCACAGGAGAGATAGGGCTAGAATGAGATTGTCACCTTCATCGGATGGTCTCAACTCAACCCCTCACACTAACCCTAATTTCGGCTCACCTTCATCAGCTCTTTCTGCAGACACGCTTTCGTCTTTCGCAGGCTTCTCTTCACCAATATCCTCCGCCTCTACTGCTACTGCTACTGCTGCTGATGCTGATGCTGCTAGTGAAGAACAAGCTGCCGCTGTCTGTCAATCTGAATGTGATGATCATCGTTTGACTTGGGCAAGAAGACATGTACCAAAGAATCTCAGCAAAAGAGCTCTTCTAGAAGTTAAAGAATTGCCAATTTTGGCTAAAAGAACTGAAACTAGGGTTTGGAAAAAGAAAGAGGTTGTTAGATTGGACTTAAACATGGGTTTTTTCCGGGATGCAAAGGATGATCTGGATTTGGAGCTTCGACTCGGGCTCTCTTAATTTAGTCGTATTAGGTGAGAGCCGCATACATTGTTCATTGATCATTGCATTTAGATGTGTGTGCTCTTTCTAAATCTCATGTTTAGCTTCTTTAATTGAATGAAAATACCTTCCTTTCATTGTCAACTTTATACTTAATGGTTCAAATGAAAGGGCAAAAAAAAAGTTCCAATGCCTTAGTGATTTCAAAATCCCTCCCTATTAATACTTGTAGATTTGTGCTTCTGTCTGCAGACAAGTAGGGGCAGTATGTGTGGGCGTCATTAGGTACATTTAAGGGTTCAAGTCCTGAAAAGTGAACGCATCTTCTTGTGTGCTCGTTTTCAGTTTTATCTGGCTGTCGTGATGAACAATGTTTGCATCAGAAGTTAGCTTGAACTTCTCCTCCTTTGATTGTACCACTAGATTGCTGTAAATGTTGCTGCTCCTGCAATCTATGGCGTGTCAACATGAAAAGAAACGCCTAAAATAAATCAACAAGGAGGATGCAAGTCAGAACCTAAGCTACAGAAAACAATTTTCTGGGTGAAGTGACTAGTTCTTAATGTCGTATAAGCTATTGTTCCAGTTAGTTAATATGTTTTCAAGTCTCCACGGGAAAGCAAAGTGTCGTGTCAGCTGAAAAAAGAAAATAAAAAGAAAGTAAAGAATAGATCGTTCTTTAAGCTTTAATTTGTAATTTGTAATTGGCAAAGAAAAGCATTTCAGTGCCTCCATAACGGATGGCCGCACAAAATGAATTGGGAAATCCAACTTCTAATACCCGACATTAATAAAGGATAGTTTGTTACATCTCCATATTCCGAGTGCAATGGATTTCAAATGCCCAGTTGTCCTCTAGTCCTTGAATTAATATGTCTTTGAAGAACCTCAACATTTTGTCATCCCTCAAACTTTTAGGGGCACTTCCCTGTTAACATTTGGAAACGGGTACGTAATGAATGTGTCACAATTATCTCAATTAACATTTAAACGATAATTGTAATGTCTAACGATTCTTTGCATAACTTGATCAAGTGTATTCCCCCGTTTCTGATGTCAGAAACTCCATCTCTAATGAATGATTCAATTCTAATAAGATTTGCAGTGAAATAAATTTAAACCTTCCGGCCGGGCATCTGCTGGATGGCCAGAAAAGGCTCATCATCGGGACTAGTATCTTTTTTCTTTTGGCATAAAAAGGTAATGATGAAACTTGAAAGCATTAAGGATGATCATCAGAAGCCAGCAATATTATTCTTTAACATATGATTGATTACACAACATAAAACCTAAAAACAAACAGCAAGTGAGGAGTTGTCCTTGCTTCCATGGTCCAAACATTAAATTCTCTTGTTGCAAGAAGAACAAGTGCTAGAAGACTTGCACACAAAATGATCAACCAGCATCCTGCGTTGAGGATAGGATATATTTGATCGCACATGTATATGTATAGATACAGAGGGGGCGGAGGAATAGAATGATTTGTATGAAAACTCGATGAGATCACTCGAAAAACAAGTAAAATGGTTTGTGTAGAGAAGTAGAGCAGGAAAGCTAGGACCGCAGGAAGAGAACTGGAGGATGATCAGGAGAGGAAGACATAAATCTCCACGTTCTACTTCTATATCACTCATTCCCTTGAAAAATCAAAATGAATGGCTGTAGCGTGGCCTTGTAGGTAGAATTTTGGTGTGTGCATAGTGCATACGGGAAAAGGGGTGGAAGTTTGTATTTTCCAAGGACTACAGCTCTGATGCCTCCTTTTTGCGTGTTCCCAACATATATGTGTCTCGGGTGTCAGTGTTATGATGGCCTTTCCCTTTGTAGTAACCCATATTTGATGAGTCCACAGCCCAGTAAGTTCCAACTTTAACTCCATTTACTATTCTCTCTCTCCCTCTCTTCACCTCTAAAATTTGTGTGCATGCGTTCAACTACTCCTACTTTAGTGCCTGCATTTCGCAATGTCGGAAGGGTACAAGTGATATATCCTGCAACCATATACGCACGTCAATGTATATATTTCTGTGACTTTCTGTGTATATGTGCAAAATTATATAGTACTAACTTATGTTCTAACAGTTCGCCTTTATTTTTATTCTTCTTTTTATTGGAGCTGGATCCACGCATCTGAAATCTTGTTCTAACAGTTCTCTGGCCTTTTCTTATAATTGTTTCAAATTGTTAAGATTAAAAGTTAATTTGATTAGCATAAAGAAGAATATACCGAGTAGCTGGTAGTACATTTATACTATTCTTTTTTTGCTTTCTGTTTTTGGGTCCTCCATATAAAATGTGATGCGATGCCATCATGTTCATGGCGTGGTGGACAATTAACTAGTAGTAGTTGTTTTGCTGATAGTAAAATTGCCGAAAAATTGTAGTGTAGAATACGTTGGAATAGTACCTTAATTAGTACTTATGTACATTTACGTGGAAGTGGAATTCAAAGGAGCCTGAATCATTCGTTGCGAGGTCCCCTCGGGCAGGTGAAAATTGGTGTATAAAAGAACAGACACATTTCCTAGGGAGATGAAAGCCTACCCAAGTAACCACCGACCTTTGGCTAGTAGCAACCAATCTCTTTTTTGACCTATAGTAGCGATTAAAATGGATTAAATCTCTTTTTGAACTCTAAGTTGGAGGTTGGGTTCGAACCTCACAAATGGTGAAAAGAATTCAAATGAGATACTAAAGTATCTCTTTGATCTAATCAAATTTATATATCTGCTAACCCTTTATATAGTTTCTTTAGACTCCTCGTTTCTGTAAAATATGTTAGATTAGGTCATAGGAATGCTCAGCATTACGGTAAAAAAAAAAGAAGAAGAAGAAGAAGAGAAAGCCTAACCAAGTGCTAGGTTATGCTTTAGGTTAGAGAGAAGAGAGGAGAGGAGTGAGGGTCTGGGAATAATGGGATAAAGGAACGCAGAGATGCATGCTGCGGGGCAACCAAGAAACCGAGCTTAATTCACAAGTCACACTGCAATGGTCTTCCATATTAGTAAGAGAAAATGACCTGAATTAGTCCCTCCCTCACATTTAGAATGGATCAATAAAGTGTACTATCACATTTAGTTCTAAATCCTATTTTGGATTTTTTTTGTTTCAATTAAAAGGTGCATGTTCAACTCGCATGCTAGGTTATGCTGAGCTGAGGGTCATGTGAGTTTTCTTCTTATTGTTCTCGTTTTGCCTCTACAGGGTATTTGTACGATGGGTTGGGCATGGGGTTTTTAGTAAGAGAAAGAAGTGGCCGAAATTTGCGATTTGGGACCAAAATTGTACCGTTTGAATATACGTGACGTGAGAGGATTAGTCGGGCCCCGTAAGGATTGATCCGGACGCCCCTATGTCGACAAAAAAAAAAAAAAGAATATACGTGACGTGAGGGATCATTTTATTCCATTTCATATGTGGGTCATCAAAAAGAGACTTTTCAAAAATATGAGGGGCATTTCCCCCACAAGG